AGAAGGATCTCAGACCCGGAGGAGTGGGAATTGGGAGCCTCTTGGTGCAAACAGAAGTAGAAGGTTCCAGCCAGCAGCACTTGCCTGCATCTTCGAAGAATCTCACAGCAGTACCACGTGTCCTCACTTTATCCAAGCTACAGAAGGAGGTGGTGGAGGCAGCAGCAGCAGCAACAGCAAATCTGTCCCCCCTTGCTCCACGGGGCTGTTTTGCTCTGATGAGACACACATGGCAGATGGCTGTAAAGTTACTATCTTGAGAGCCGATAGAAATGAGATTTTTTTTTCCTGTGCCGTATCTCATTTCCTTCTGAAACAATTCTTGTAGTAAACAGAGGTTTTCTGATCTTGTTAAGATCCAAGGATGGGGATTCCTTTACACTTTTTAACTATGAATATTTTCTTGCAGAGTTATGATCTGTTGGTGGAGGGATGTTTTGGGTTGTTGTCTTATCTGCCTGTTTGTTTGTTTGTTTGTTTGTTTGTCTGTCTGTCTGTCTGTGACAGTGTGTGTAGCTCAGGCTGACCAGTAACTGTGTACCTCAGGCTGACCTGTAACTATGTAGCCTAGGCTGGCCTTGAATGCTTGGTGGGTAATTCTCCTGTACCAGCTTCTATAAAGCTGTGATTACAGGCATAGACCACCACACTTGGCTTGATGCAAATGTGTGTGTGTGTGTGTGTGTGTGTGTGTGTGTGTGTGTGTGTGCATGTGCACCTGTGTGTATCTAATATTCACTATGTGTATTCAGGAGCCCTCATGGAGCAGTAGAGGGCACAAGATTCCCTGGATTGAAGTTACTGGCAACTGAGGGGGTGTCATCTTCAAGAGTAGCCAATATTCTTAAACCCTGACCAATCTGTCCAGCCTGGGGTGTTGATTTTGTTTGTTTGTTTGTTTTGTTGAGACAGAGTCTCCTCATGAAGCCAAAGCTGGCCTTAAACTCCATATATAGCCAAGGCTGACCTTGAACTCCATAGATAGCCAAGGCTGACCTTGAACTCCTTGATCCTTCTTCATTAGCCTCCCACCATGCTGGGATTACAGATGTTCTCCATCATGTCCAGCTGTTGCTCTTCTACTGGTGGTGGAAGCTATTCTATGTCTCCTCTCTTCTCTTCTATCGAGAGACCATGCTAGGAAGAGGCGCTGCCACCACCAGAGACCAATTCCAGCTATAGCCCATCCCGGATAAGCCCTCCACATGCTTCTCTGTTGCTACCATCTCTTGACAAGTGGGCCAGCAGGATGAAAACCTTGCTGAGTGTAGGAGGCCCCAGGCAGAGGCGACACAGAAGGACCAAGAAGTGGGTAGATTGTGACTTGCATGAGAGGAGAATTATTTTGAACCAAGTCTTGCGTGCTGACAGCATAATGATCATTATTAGGACCTCAGATATAACATGAAGCCCGCCCTAAAGTTAAATTTTCCCTTTCAGAGAAGTGTGGCCTGTCAGCCCCATGTAAGACGGTTCTGTGCCAACCTCCTCCACGACACGGGTTGGAATGCTCCAGCTGTTCCCTCCTTCCCTCCCTATTACCTTTCCCAAAGCCCTTTGCTTCTTGGGTTAATAAGGACTCTGCTTTCTTACCTTAGTCCTTAAAAAAAAAAAAAAATCAACCTAAGAGATGAAAGCGTCACAGAGTTGCAGGCTTCTTCTCATAGGTAGTTTCAGGCTTGCAGTCTGGAATCCTGCCTCCTAGGGAGCCAGGGGGCACAGATTTGTAGCCCAGCAGGTTTTGTTTGACGATTACAGCATTTTGCAACTTGGTTTTGTTGTTGTTGTTGTTTTGTTTTGCTTTGCTTTTGTTGTTTTTCCATTGAAATCCTGTTTGCGGGGTTTTGTTGAAAAATAAGAAAATGGGAGCTGGTGAGACAGTTCAGTGTGTAAAGAAAGTGCTGGCTACACAAGCGTGAAGACGTGCGTTTGTATCCCTGTGTAAAGATGGACAGAGTAGCACGCACCTGTAATTCCAGCAGTCCTACAGCGAGAGAGGAGGCAGAGATGGAAGCTCATGGGCCGGCTAGCCTGGTGTGTACGGGTGAACATCCACAGCCCCCGCCTCAAACAAGGTGGACAATGAGGACCAACCAAGGAGGTTTGTCTCTGACCTCCACATGGCAAGTGCACACACACAGAGATTACAAAAATCTGAGTTGGACATGGTAGCGCTTGAGAGACAGAGACAGGCACAGGGAGATCAACAGAAATTTGAGAGCACCCTGTTCTACATGCTGAGTTCCAAGCCAGCTAGAACTGACCAGTAAAACCCTGTCTCAAAAAGACTTGAACAAATCAGAGCGCCTGGCCACACTGGGCATGGTCCCCCATAACAAACTGCTGCTGCTTGAATAGAGTAGTTGCTTCCTTTGCATAAAGCTTGTTCTCTGGTTCACTATGGTCCCTACCACTCCCAATCATCTCCCATCCGCAGGCTAGACGTAAGCTAAAGCCAAAGGTAGATGTGGGCCTGTGGATTCCAGCCTCAGCCCTGCCACTTAATCTCTATGTTCTCCTGAACAGATATTTGCTTCTCTGTCCTTTGAGACAGGGTCACATATATCCCAGGCTAGTTTCAAATTCAAGGTCAGGGGAGGGCCTTGAATTCCTGATCTTCCTGTCTCCATCCACTTCCCCAGTGCTGAGATTACATTTTAGACACTGTACCTGGCTAAACTATTTCCCTTGTTGCTACATCTCCAGCCTGATATAATCCCTGGCACATGGTAGTCACTCAGCAAATGTGTAGATATATAAGTCTAATGTCTCCCAGACTTCACTTTTCTTGTGTTACAGACTAAATTATCCTTGGCCTATTTTATAAAAATAAATGCAGAAGAACCGGGGGGTTTATTATTTCCAAATTCTATGTGCTATTTTTCCTTTTTTTTTTTTTTTTTTTTTTTTTTTTTTTTTTTTTTTTTTGCTACTTTAAAAGGTTAAAAGGCCAGAAGATGTTTCAGAGTTGTTGGGAACCTTCTTTGTCGTAGTCAGCTGAGACCCAGCCAGGAGAAAAATGTGCTGTGCTCCAGGGCTGGCTTTCTAAGTTGCTATCAGGATGCCAAACCAGGTCAGGAATCAGTGCTTCGGAGAGTTACAGTTAGAAATGCAAGCGTTTATGTGCTGCCCTTGAGAGAGCCATGGCTATACAAACACACTTAGAGCATTAGTGCTTCCTGAAGCATCTCCCTCTGAAGCCGCGCTTTCAGAGAAGTCTATTCCCGTAAAACTAAAGGCCGGTCCGTTGCTCTCAGTGGCTGGGCTCTGAGTGCCCGCGTTGCCTCCTCATTAGATGTTCCTTTGCTGGAACACCAGAGAAGGTGGGTGATTCTCAAGGGAATTCAAGCCTACTAGAGTATTCTATGACATAAGCCTTCTGGAACTTTCAATAGACTTATGCTGTTGGTGTTGGTGGCCTCTAGGGGTCAGCTCCTACTTCTGGTTACTAAACTTCCACTTTCCCTGGGAAGCCATTTCTTCCCTCCTGTGGAATTTTAGGAGAATGAGTTTACTTCTAGCTCCAGAGGTGAACACAGAGCAGCCAAGGCTTCACACCCCTGCCTACAACCATACATTCAGAAGAAAGCCAGTTCCATACGCCATTCAAACCCAAGATTTCACCCCGGAGCTTTCTGCAGTGCTGTGGAAAGCTTCTCAGCTGGGAGCAGGTGCTCAGACCCAGGACTGAGTACCTGACCAGTCCCGAAGGAAGAAGATGTGGAGGAAACAGAACCACAGAGGAGATGCCTGCTGTCGGTTTCACCAGGATCCAGGTACACCTGGCGTTCGGGTGAACTCTTGGACTTTTGGTTTCAGGAACTCACATATTATCACTTCCTCTTAAAGTGCTTTGACTAGTGTTTCAGCGCTTACAGCAAAGACCATTCTGACTAACAAATCTGAATTTGAAAAATGTAGATAGGAAAAAGGCACAAAACTGAGACCCATTGAGAACCACGGCCCGAGGCTAACAATGGCTTTGAGTCTTTCTCCTTCATATGCACTTTAAATTCCACGCGCGCACTGGCCTAGGAAACAGTAGTTTTGTTTTGATTTGGTTTTGAGACAGGTCACAGGCTATGTAGCCCAGCCTGGCCTCAACTCTGTAGCTGAGGCTGACCTTAAATTTCTGATCCTCCTGCCCCCACCTCCAAATGTTGGATTTACAGGTGTGTGTTACCAGCCTAGAAGTGACCCCACCCCCTCCCCCCTCCCAGCACTGCCCCCACTCCCGCCCTGTTTCTTTACTTTTTCCTCTTTTTTTTTTTTTTTTTTTTTTTTTTTTTTT